GGGTTTAGGGTTTAGGGTGGCCTATTTCTTGTAAGCCTGAACCTCTCAACCATAACCAAAGCAGGCATTTGAAAGTCTGCGAACTTTGCCCCACACCCCAGGGCCAAAACTCTAGAACCTCAAAACCCAACATAGACCCCAGTCCACTAAAATACTTATCAGGTTTAGGGGTTTAGGGTTTAGGGCAGTATGGGGATCCCTGAGAAGGGACCCAAAATTCTTGGAAGTGCCCATGTGAATCTTATTAACACCCTGCCCTGAACTCAGGCCCTGAGCCCGGCTTAGAAGAAGCCCGGTCCTTCAACGCCTTGAGTCGAACGGCCGTCCTGCCACACAAAGAGTTCAAAGTAGCGACAACAAATGGCGGGGCTGGTATGTGAAGATCTACAGTTAGTGTGAGAGCCCCTGCACCACCCAAAGTGAAGTCCAAGTGGAATCAAGATTCAGACTTTGGAGTTAAGGTTCGCACTCAGGGTTAGAATCTCAGGTACCATGAAGTGGTGCAAAAAAAACGCGCAAGCGGCGTAGGTCAGGTGTATGAAGCTGGCCCTGAAGAACGGCGCTTGCGGCAATGATGTTGAAGCCCACTGACCTCAACCCTGCTTCTTGCACACACAAAATTTTCGAAAGCACTGATGGTAGTGACGGCCTCTTGGCTCCAAAAACACCCAAAGCCCTGAATGGGCCTCCCCAGCACCAACTGCACATCCGACCCTGGAGCAAGCCTGATGGTTCCGGCCAAGATTTAAACACTCAATAGTTTTTAGCGTGTGCATGAACCAAGTAGGATTGTTTTCTGCTTCCAAAAGGTTACATGGAGAGGTATGATCATCTTCTACATCAGCGAAGATAGCATCCTTCTTCAACAATGCGATTCGCCTGACCTGCCGCCTCGTGATCTTGCTGCTCCGCCTCCTCGAACCTTGTGTCTTTTATTTCGTAGCCACGCCGCAGAACCGCCCCATAAATTAACTCTGACTAGCCTGACGTCACCTACCCTAGAACCACAAATAAACTAGGCTGCTGTTCAGGAACTTATACTAGTTACCCCATTCTGCGTATACAGTAGGTAGTGAGGCTTCCTTTCTGTAATAACTTCAACTTAATCTAAGTTCCTTAACAACAAACCAGTAAAGCGGCCAGGCAGACAAGAGGATCAGCAGCACTAGAGCGGCGATATACCATAACCTGAGAGAAAGGCATTCGAAGGGGGGAGGGGGTTCCATGGGGCGATGGGGGTGAATGCTTTCCGGCTGGGGGTTGGGTTTGAAGGCTTTGGGTTTTGGGATGTGGGGACTTAAAGACTTAGTGTCATGATTGACACAGTCGGGTAACTGAGAAAATGGAGCCCAAGCGCCAGGCACACGACGAAACCTGCAAAAACTCTCACTTGCCCATCCGAGATACCAAGCCGAATAGAAGCAGGGGTGTAATGCCGCCTACCTTTAGAAAGCACCCACAACCCGCAGGTGACCTCCGGGCCTTGTTCTTGAAACCCCCGGTTACTTCTCGCTCATACCTCAACCATGTTCCTTGAACATTAACCTCTAATTCCCAGACCCTGAACCGATCTTCCACGACCGCAACACCACCCACAGATCCCGAGTCCAAATCCTTACATCCAGCTATTTTCTGTGCCAGACCCTCGCCTCCAACCCAGAAACCCACATGTGCATGTGCTGAAGTGGGTAATTTTCCCCCAACCTGAAACCCTGAATAGACCTTGGTTTGAAACCCTAAATGACTGAAGAAACCGCAAGCCTAGGACGGTCACGCCTAATTGCTCCAGTGCGCTTGAAAGGGAGCCATGCTGGCAGCTTCAGAGCCCTCGGCCCGGGGAAATGTAAAACCCTCAAACATACGCCCCTGAACCCTAACTAAATACCTTAGTCTAAACTCCTAGTATCCCCCTTTAATAACCCCTATAAGAGTTCCCTCTGTAACCCCATTTTTGAACCCAAAACCAACTTTGGGTAACCCTAAACCCTGAACGCCCAAACCCGAAAACCTGGCGCCACGCACCCCACGCGCACTGTGAACACTCAGGGCAAAGCTTTAGCCTGCGTCTTTCCTCCATCTTGGCCCTGAGGACTTAGGGTTTAGGGTTTAGGCCCTGAGGGCTGGCACGATTCTCAACGGTTGAAGGTTTAGGGTTTGGAGTATTTCGGAACTATTTATTCCCCCCCCCCCCCAATAATGGAAAATCAGATGGAAACTGAATGGAAACTGGACCATAATATCCCAGAATAACGTCCAATATACTATGCTATATACTAGTTTCGATTTTTCCATTATTCCTATATACTTAGGGTCAGGAATTGCGGTTCGGCTGTAATTCTAGACCCTAAACCCTAGACGCCTAGACCCTAAACCCTAATAAGCTTTCCGGTTTCACGGCCCGGTCTCAGGAGGCTTGCAGCTCATCAACTGCTGTAACGGCGCTTTGAGCCCCCGCCCTTCTTGACTTGTTTGCTGTTACAGGACTTAATTTAAGTTACTATATTGGGGAAACACCATTATATACGCTATATACCCCTTACGGTAACTCTAAACCCTCAACCCTAAACCCTATATACCCAATATACCCTATATCAACCCTGTATATACCCTATGTATATATATATATACACCCAGTATGGTAACTTAGTTTAAGTTCCTTAACACCTTCTTGATTGCGGGGCACCCCCGGAGACTCGTCTTTAGGGTTTAGGATTTAGGGTTTAGAGTTTAGGGTTCTATGCAAGCACCTCTTACCTGACGCCCTCAGCCCCAAGCCCTAAATAAACTAAGCCCGACCGGCTAACCCACGGCCCACACCCTACTGGTTAAAACCCAACCGACATGTAGGGGGTTCGCAGAAGTTGGCCACCCAGCAACGAGTCGCATTCCCTGTGGTTACTTCGGGCTACAAAGGGGCCAGTTCGAGAACATTCCATATTCTTGGAAAGTAGCCAGGTCAAGGGTGAATGCACATTGAAGTCTATATGGGATGCCCTCACACCGACATTCCCCTTACAGTATGGCACCCTGTGTTTGGGCTTCCGATTTGCCTATAGAACACCAATATAACCCCTATATAACCCCTAAATAACCCCAATGTAACCCCAATACAAAACCCTATATAGCCCCAATAGAGCCCCAATATAACCCCATATAAACCCTTGACGTTTTATGACTACCCCGCTAAGCTGCTTCACTCAGCTTCAAATTCTCGGGCACACTCAGGATCCATGACCCTAGGTTGAACTGTAGGTTTAGGGTTTAGGGTTTGAAGGGCCTGTATCAGGGACTATGGTACCGATACACACGAGTAGATGACATATGCACTGAACTTAACTGGGAGTCCGACCTTTGCGGCCCACTACACCCTGCACCCTAAGCCCTAACCCCACAGTCCCCTTGCGTAGATAGATTATGGGGTATATGGTGATCTTACTACAATATACCCAAAGCCATATTCTATCTACTTAAGGGGGGCCATACACTCTAAAGCCTTTGAAAGTTTCGGATTTGAGCTATGAGGTGTAGAGATTGGGGATTAGGTAGGGATGATGGTATCATGGAGGCCTACTGTACCCTATCCCGGAGGAACTTTCAATGCGAAAACGGCGCGTTCCGCAAACAGCATCTTTGAAACTTCAAACTGTATGAACTCGCATGTGCGTGTTCAAGCTTTTTTTTGGGAAGACTTGCCCCAAACCTAGGTTTTGGATTCTCTTGATGTCGAACTAGATGAGTTTGCATTATGTTGAAGTGAATATATGTGTTGTCCTGTCACATCCCTACCTCACTAGGGAAGCACCACAACCAAACACATTGCAATATTACAATGAAATTCTGAATCCGTCCAAGATACTCCCCATGTACCCCATCCCCCCACAAGATTCAAGGATATGTGATCCTTACTGGCTCAGGATTTGGAGCTGTGGGCCTTGCCCTAAACCCTATGGGTTTGGGGCCTTATAAAAACTGTCTCTACATGCCAGACAGTCCTAAACCCTGAACCCTAAACCCTAAACACGGAGACCGAAATCCACACGTACTCTTGACCGATAGAGGCACGCGCCTCGCGCACTGACCGCGGTTGCCAAGGCAAGCCTTGGAGTGGTTGTGGTTTACTTGGAAGTAAGGTCTAGGGGTTGGGGGCGTAGGCGTAAGGAATGGAAGCGAACATGGAATAGCCTTTCTTTGTGTGTAGAGTTTGGGGTTTGTGACATGGAAATTTAGTACGTGTACTTTTCCCCTAAATTCCATACATAACACTGCACGTCGCCCTCATTGACCTACTTACTACGACCCCCTGACCCTTGAGGCCGGGCATCAGAAACATGGACCCCTAAAACGTC